CCCTTGGATTGTCCTGCACAGCTCTCAATACATTTTCTTCCATCACCGGTGTTCTTACAAATCTGTCTCTGCCACGATCATTTACTCTTGGTTGGAACGAACCATTTTCTCTTAAACGTTGATGGATCCTCTGAAATACCTGTCGAGAAGGAAGTCTTCTATTCGGGTATGCTGCCGCATACAGACGCCTCGCTTCTGATGCATTTCCAGCCGCACGGCCGTACATAAAGTGCATATCTGCCATTTCCGTGTTTGAATATGACTCCATTTTATGAGTTGCAATAATGTTGTATATTTAAATTTTCCACTCCCCACTTTTACTAATCAAACACTGCAAAGCTCAATTGACAGTTTATCAATAACTTAAATTGTTAAGCGTTGTGGCAACGTCAGTCTTTTATTTGTCATGGTAAACAGATTTTTGTAATTTTTGGCCTAATAANTTCTTACACTAACCCTTGGATTGTCCTGCACAGCTCTCAATACATTTTCTTCCATCACCGGTGTTCTTATAAATCTGTCTCTGCCATGATCATTTACTCTTGGTTGGAACGAACCATTTTCTCTTAAACGTTGATGGATCCTCTGAAATACCTGTCGAGAAGGAAGTCTTCTATTCGGGTATGCTGCCGCATACAGACGCCTCGCTTCTGATGCATTTCCAGCCGCACGGCCGTACATAAAGTGCATATCTGCCATTTCCGTGTTTGAATATGACTCCATTTTATGAGTTGCAATAATGTTGTATACTTAAATTTTCCACTCACCACTTTTACTAATTAAACACTGCAAAGCTCAATTGACAGTTTATCAATAACTTAAATTGTTAAGCGTTGTGGCAACGTCAGTCTTTTATTTGCCATGGTAAACAGATTTTTGTAATTTTTGGCCTAATAACTTAAAGAGCAGAGTAATTTTCAAACTCAATTTACTCGAAAACCATTGGAAATATCGATTTGGACAAAGATAATATTTTTTACGTAAAATTGTTAAGATTTTATAAATCTGTAGAGAAAATTGTAAAAAAAATTGAAATAAAAAAATTGCGGGCCGAAAACCCCCTTCATTAGGGAATTAGTTTGCTCCAATGTCTCCATCGAAATAATACACGGGTGACGTGGCACTATTTATTACAAATACGGGAGCTGTTATACAAGTTATAAAATAGGAACTAACGGTCCGCCACTGTCAGCCCTACTACTTTTCTATCAAAACAATAATAACAATAATAATAATACTTAATAATAATAGTAAAAGCCACACGGCTATGGTTATTTCATCAATTGAATGATGCAGTTGCTTCCCGGGCTTTCAGTTTTGTTCCGTTCACAGGGGCGTTACCCAGTGCATTCCTTTACCCTATCAATTTACTTTTTACCAAACATGACCATATAAGGAAGTGTTTACAAAAGTTAGATAATGATGGTCTTTCACACACAGGCTAAAACTTAACCCTGAAGAGATAACAATTTGGTACTCTAATATTTCTGTAACATAAACAAAAACAAGCCCTCAACGTTCCATCGACGGTGACAGTTCTTCGAGTGGCTACGAATTCATAGGCGGTTACAAGAGTGATGCCGACATATATTATTACATAGGTATTTCAATTCTACACATACAGACTGTTACAAATTCGCTTTTCACTATAGGGATCTCGGAAACGGTAAGAGGTACGAAGTAGCTTAAATGGGGGCAAAGTTGCGTAATCAGGGGACCAACATTATGCCTCTAAAAAATCAAGCCTAACATGATTAGTTTTATCTGTAACCGCAAGTATGTCAGAAGTATTTGTATGAATATCCTAAAAAAAAATAGATTGGAATTTGTTTGAATTTTGAGCACTCGAGATGCCTAGAAATAACTATGGGCACGGGAATAAAACTAATAATTTTTTTACTTTAATGCGTGGTGGTAATAGTTTAAATAACTAGATGGATTTCACAGGGTCTAACGACACTTAGGTACAGTGTACGATAATTCAATAAACAAAGAAATCTAAATAAAAAATTTAGATACATTTGGAACGAATACACTGAAGATTAATTTTTCAAGGCAAAACGTCTGAATCTGGTTCGAGCTGAGGCAGTACAATATTGGGAGTCATGAAGGCGTGCAAAAAATGTAATAAAATTTCCAGGGTCGTATTTAAAAAAATGAAGTTGATGATGGTCCTGGAAACAGGACCATCATCAACTGAATTTCCGCATTTCATAGCGGGTAAAAAGTGGCCATGAGAAGGTGATCTTATTTTTTTTAATATCACCTCAAACAAGGCTGAAGAATATCCTTTCTATGATTCCTAATAAGATTGCACAGTTTATGAGACTGGAACATCCTGAAACGTATACATACCATTCATTCCGAAGAACATCGGCAACGTTACTGGCTAATACAGGAGCTGATGTATTAGCAATCAAGAGACATGGTGGGTGGAAATTAGCCTCAATTGCAGAAAGTTATGTTACTGACAGTTTAAGTAACACAAATGAAATAGCCAACAGGATTCTTTACAATGACACTTCAACTCCAGATTCTAGTAGTACGTCGCATCATGCTGTTCTAAGTCAAATAATATTGAGCCTCCGGTGACTGAAATGGAGCGGTCAAATCATTTTGAGAAAAATGTGACAATTAGTAAACGCGAGGGGAGAGGGGAGTAATTATCCAGATTTTATAAATGTTACTAAATGTAATAACTGTACAATTACTATACATATTCATTCATAATAATTAATAAAATGTAATGTTCATCAAATATTTCTATTTATTTGTTCATAAAATTCTATAACTCGAAATCGCTTTTTTCCCTACGGAGGTAAGTGAGGTAACTTACCTCCATTGTCCATATCAACTTCCACTTCTACGGTAAAATCCACTTACCTCCTTAAAAATGATGAATTAGTAGTCTATTTCCTATAGTGGAAGCAGATAAAATGTATTTTTTTATTGAATGTCCTGGATATTTTAAATTTTATGAAAACACTAGGTATGCCAGAATAAAAAAAAAGAGAGAAGTTTTAAGAAACAACAAATATTTTCTTCAGAATTTTATTTTATAAAGTGCTCAAAGTGTTCACCATTTACCTCCTGACATTAATGAATTCGCTGAATCTAAAAGGGTGTTGGGAGGAATAATGGAAATTTCATGCCTGATTCTTTCCTGTAATTCTTCGATATTTTGCGGCCTATTTTGGTAGACTACATTTTTTATGTGACTC